TCTTTACATTCTCTCTTAAAATATATGGAATTAGTCTACGCTTCAAGAAGGTCGTCTTTTATTAAGATACTGTCAGAAGAATTAATACATAAAGGGATGTGTACATCCAGCAATCTTAGGCTGCGTAATAAAATAGATTGCTATTTTATATCTCTATCCTTAGAAACACCTAGTGGGTGATAGTTCATTGAAGTTGATCTTACTAACTCTTAAACAGTATGGCATAGAACTTTGTCTACAGATATGATGATTCTCATTTACCATGCGTAAGTTAAAGCTCTTTCTCTGTTACATGGTCATCTTTCCCCCATTTACAATCAATCTATACTCCCATATCTACCTGAATAACTGATACTAAATTCAAGCTTTTCGTATCTCATAACGTACTTTGACTTTTTTTTTCATTTTTTGGTGAATGGCTTAAACTACAATTGGATCCAACCACTTCATCCGTTGTTAACGGAGTATGAAAATCTTTAGTCCTAATTTTACTTTTACTTTGCTGAACTGTTTAATTTGCTGATTCTTGCTGGACATCTGGGGAATTTTTCAGTAAACACATAGTGGAAAGTTGTCACTTTTTATTTCCATGTTCAAATCCATATTTTCATAGCTGTATTTTGGTTTGTTATCCAGATGTAGTTGTCTGTTATTTAAATTTCACTTCGAATAGTTGTCCATTTATTATGTATGAGTTCTAATGCGTTCCTAGTACTCCGTCTTAATAATATCGAATGAATTTGAGAAAAATGAAGTTCACTCAGAAACACATTCACACTGACCATTTCAGTTTATATCATTAGAGATAATAAAAAAGATCCACATGGTTAAGGCTAATTCAAAGTCTTTGACGTTTATATCATATAACTCAGTCCTGTTTTAACACAAAAACCCTGTGAACAGTGAACCAATTCCAGTAAAATATAGATACTATTGAATTAGAGTTTGCTGATTTTGAACATATTTAAAAGTTGCTTGATGAATTCCAAATAGTTTTTAGAATAAAATTGCTCAGTAACGACTGGATTCTAGAGATTACTCACCCAAAAGTAAAGTCAACTTAATGTGCAGTAAGACTTCGATATCTAAGTTGGGTCGTATGAAGCACAATGTTGAAATCAAATGCTATATTTTTTAACATCATTGGAAACCTCTATATCCTATCTCCAACGCGTGTGTTTCGAAATAATGAAATTATAATTACTGATCAAACAGATATCTCTACATCTGAACATTCATAAAGTTAAATGACTAATGTTGATCTCTTACAAGAAACTGATTTACTATAAAGTACCTCTTACCATAGTATATTTTATTCACCTAAACAAAATAAAAAATATCTTGCTCATGTTAAGCTTAAGGTTCGAAGCATTCGTTACATAATATCTATTTACCGAATAGGCAATAATTCGATCAAAGATTCAACGAAAGGTCAGGAGATAGGCCACTCGGAATAGAAAAAAATGATCACCATATGTCTTATCTACACTTATAGAATTCGACTTCAAAATCAGAAAACAGATGTTCTTGATAAAGATCGCTCACTCATTATTATTATTAATGGCTTTATTCAATATTATATTTTGGTATAATATAGAATTCTCAGCACAGGGAATTTCAACAAGTTTCTTACGCAAAAAAAAACAGAAACAAAGACAAAAACGAAAAAAAAGGTTTAAAAAAAGACAACCGGAAAACTGTACAACTTTTCAAATTAGAGACATGTTAAGAATGCAGGTTATTGACTAGGTTAACTCTGACAACCTGTTCGTCACAGAGTATATTTGCTAGGTAAGGTATTATAGAACTTTTATACTTTTGCTTGCGTGCATGGATTCTAATGTAATTACGTCTCGTTCTACAAGAAGCTATACAAGGAGAAACATAAGAGTGAAGGGGATGGTTAGTATCTGATAAAATAACACCTGCCAGGAGTTTGCATGACTTTAGATGTCTACCCACAACTATATTAATTATGACCTCGAAAGATTCACCACACATCTTTCTAACTGCCTTCAGCACTCTCCGCAATACAGCAAAGTCTTTTCTCAAAAGCCCGGGAAAGAATAATGGAGGACAGTAAAGAATAATAGGTAATATACAAGAATTGACGAATTGTGAGAGTAAATGACGAGTAATCCCAAGAGCATGCAATCTCTTTATATAGCAAGTCAGACGTAAAACTTTCTTCGATAACAATAAAACGTGAGAAGACTAAGAGAGATCAGAACAAAAGGTAACACCAAGATAATTGACCTTCGACACTGTGTTTATCAAAGTCTCCTATGGCACAAGCATTATGTGATATCAAAATGGTGTTTAGATTCCGTTCATGTCTCGTGCTAAAGTTAACAGCTTGACATTTAGACGGATTAAGTATGAGACCATTACCAACAGACCAACAACCAATACGAGACAAAAACCCATTCATTTTATGGGATGTAAGGAGGAAGAGATAGGCATACATACAGTGAGATGATCCGCATATTTCACAAAAGTGTTTTCTGTGGAAGATGGCAGGTCATGCAGAAAAAAAGTGGAATGAAGAAATTAAAGAACAGCTCCTTGTGGTACACCTTCATGAGACAGTAGAGACTCTGAACACTTTACTCCAAATAAAGTGTACTGTTCCCTTCCAGAGAAGTAGGAACATACCCGATTCATTATCCAGCTGTCAGTGTTGACACTGATTAACTTGTTAAGCAAACGTTGTCTTGGTATAGAATCAAAAGCTGAAGTATAGTCCAGAAAAGCGAATAGAACTTACTTCTCACTTTTTTCTAAGTTGAACACTATATTGTGATGCAGAACAGCAACACCATCTAAGGTGCTTCTTTTGCATCTGTAAGCAAACTGATACGGATCAATATGCCCTTTTATCGCAGGCTGAAATGGAAGTATTAATAATCTTTCCATTGTTTTGAGGAAAAGTGAAGTAATTGCAATAGGTCTAAATTTCACATTCTTATCGCCAGATATTTTCTCGGGTACAGGGATTATCTTCATCTTTCTCCACATGCTCGGCATGATGTTAGATGGGAAGGATCTGTTAGAGTCATGAATGGATAACATAGGACGTCAGCATATTTTTTAAAAAGGAGGTTTGGGATACCATCAGGTCCTAAACATCGGGATGAATTAAGTGACTGGAGACATCTTCGGACATCAGTTCCAGTGGAACTAGGAACACAGCTATTCTTCAGACCTGTGGATAAAGGGAGCAACACATCAGATGCCTGACGTACAAAAGACTTATTTCAGTCACAAACATTCAGCTGGTTATCGCTCTTAATCTGTCTGTCACCTGTAAATTCTTTAAAGAGTTTCCACATACTTGGAGAGTTTTTACAAGACAGGAGATTTTGGGTAAAAATAGAGTTGAGACGTCTAGACTGTAGGTTTATTAGACCATTCAGCTTACGAACTTCATTAGAGTTTTTCTTCTTGTACATTCCTTTTCTCACCCTCCGTAATTGTTTTAGTTGTGAAGATGTAAATCAATCAAAACTTGCAAAAATGGTTTCAGTGGGACAACACATATCAAAACAGAATTTAAGGTAACAAGTGATAACATCAGTAGTGTTTTCCAGTGAGTCATCTGTAAATCATTACCAGTTAGTCGTATGAAACATGTTTTTCAAATTTCCTGAGCAATTCCTATATTTGAGTCGCTTTGATGTAAGAGTGTACTCTTTCCATGCTTTCCATATACTTTAAGTAGAACACGAATTATACAGTGATCCGAGCTAGAAAATGGAGCACGTTACCCACATCATTAATGAAAACAAAGTCTAAATGAGCATTCAAACGGGTAGGAAAATCTACTACATTTTAGTTATCTAGTGACGAAAGAAAACTACAGTCACATGAACTGAAATCACCACATACAACTGAAAGTGAACCACTGAAGGCAGGACCGGCGAACTCAGTGAATTCATCAACGAAAACAGATAGCGCAGATGATGTGCAGTCTGGAGTCACGTGGATATTGGTAAAATAGACATATTTGTATTTATTCAGATGTTTTGGACGGCATCTTGGAGTTAGATAGTCGACAAAGTCATTTGAAAACTTGAAACACACATACGGAGATCGACACCAGTTCACGTTTACAAACGTAGCTAGATCACCGCCACACTCCTTTTTTATTGTTTGATCGATCCTGGCAATAAATTTTGAAATCACGTAGTGATACTAGTCAGTTGTCCTGTAT